AATGTTGTTTAAAACAAATTGTTATAAATCATGTTTAGGAGCTAAGCACGGACGTAAGGACGTGCTCAGCTGCTAGTAATAATATTAATATTATTATTTTCATGTCTCCCTATTTTTGGAAAAAATTGTATTAACACTACTAATAATAATTTAAGTAACAATCTTCATATCAAAATGATATTAAAGTTTCACTGCATATAAATTTAAAAACAAAAAACCTTTAGATAAATTAGATAAAAATGAATTTTTCGAAATTTGGCTTGAGAATTGACCACAATATTCTTTGTGGTATATATGCATATTTAAATTTATTAATTTGCAGTTTGCTCAATTTATTATTACGGACAAAAATACTAAACAGATTGAATTCTTTCAATTTTTTAAAAAAATTATAAAGCTTTAAAATTGCTAATAATGAGTTAAGTGAAGATGGTAATGGTGATGGTGAATTAAAAAGATGATGTGCCATGTTACAAAGCAGTGTAGCTAGGTGTATGGAAAGAAGACAATAACATTGTAGTTCTCTCCTGATCTGCCCAAAGTCCAGATTGAAAACTTAAATTTAAATTAAAAATTAAAAATTAAAAATTAAAAAATAAGACTGAATTATTTAATTTATTGAAAGAGAAGTGGCTTAATACTAATCCAGGAACAATTAATAAATCAATAGATAGTATGCTGTTTAAAAAGTAGAGAAAACCTAACAAGATATTGATTTTTTTTTTAATAAAATAAAATATTTTCATATATTTTTGATGTCTTTAATTTTCCAAATTAGTTAGTATTGTGATGAGGAATAGCAATCCTCATATTTTATCTGCATCTCCTGATTACTACTCGTAACTGTAAACATAAATGAAACTTCAAGCATAATGATAATTATTATTATGGAAATATTATTCATATCTATTTGTTGTGCAAGCCTTTAAATGTGCATTTTGTTTATTGTATATAAATCACCGCAAAATAATCTGATTTTTTGAAAAAAAAAAAAAAATTTTTTTTTCATAAAAATTAAAATTAAATTGTTCACGTCTTACTTTTTCACTACGTAATAATATTATTTAAAAAAAAAAAAATTCTTAAAATCATGAAAAATTTTATAGTCCTCATCTTCGTGTTCGTTATTATGTCATTTAACTTTTTGACACCTTTCGGTACACCGGTCGAGGACCCTCCAGCAAAGGAAACGAAACCTGGAACAACTCTTGCTTTAAACAGCACTGTTTCTGACGTTCACACCTCAGGTAGTTATTGTCCAGAAGGGTACTGCATATATGATTATGCATATTGCTGTGGATCATATTGTTGTGAAGACTCAACGCTTTACTACGGTTATTGCTGTGGTGTGATGGAGTGTTGCTATGCTTAATAAGGCTTATTTATAAAATCATTTAATTTGTAGTAAAATTATTATTAAATAATTTTTATTATATATTTTAATTTTAATATTTTAATTTTTTGAAACCATTTGTTGAGTATTAATATTTTTATGATGTATTTTTATTATTTTATTTGTAATATAAGAAATAATAATAAATAATTTAACAAAGTTAGTAATTCCTAATGTTTTGGTGTAGAAAAAAAACCGTCAAATATACACTCACTAGACAAAAGTCGAGCGCATTTTTAAACAAAAATTGCGCAAAAACGCACACAATAAAAACACAAATAACTTATATCATTTTGTAGCCTAGGTTCTCAAAATTTTGCATACAAAGTTTAAAACTTTCTATCGTGCCTAAGAAAATAACAGTTAAAAAAATAAAAAATCCGACCAAAAATTTTTTCCAAAAATTTTTCTGACAAAAAAAAAATTAATTGAACAAAATCGTATTTAATAACCAAGCTCGAATTTTTGGCATGTGATAACGAACGTCTTGAATAAGTATTTATGTTGTTTTGAATTTTTTGTAAACAAACATCATTTTTAATAAATTTTTGAACAATTCCTTTGAAAAATTTTAAACTCAAAATGTCACCCTTAGAGATGGGCAGATCAATACTATACGTATAGTGTGTATAGTTCTAGAGCTATATAGTAGTAAATGTAAATCAATTCCTGTTTAGGTTATCGCCAAATAGATGTAATGTTGCATAATAGTGCATTACTTTCTCACGATATATATTTTTTAAACTTATTGTAACAATTTGCATTTCATCACGAATACAATATACTAAAGAAAATAACTAAACATTAATGGCGAACAAATTAATTTTATATTTTAAGTATTTTTGCTAATTATGTTTAGTAATATTCAGATAGATGAGATTATCTGTATTTTCTTGTGTGATTATTATTTAAGAATAAAGAATAACTTATATTTAAAGTATTAAAGACAAATAAATTCTTTACACTTATAATGACTCGCCAAAGTGCAATTTGGCAACATTTTAAACATATTGGTAGTGTTAATGGTTATAAGCAATTACGTGTTGAATGTCTATATTGCAAAAATCCAAAATATCAATGTGCTAGTTCAGTATCTAGATGTGAAAACCATTTACGCACTTGTCCAAATGCCACAATTCAAACTAAAAGAAATTATTTTGGAGAACATTTCAATACTTCAAATACTAGTATACAAACAAATGAAAACATAACTTCTAATAATGCTACATTCATTACATCAAATGCAACAATCACTTCAGATCCAAATGTTGCACCAAGTTCATCCAACAACCGAAGAACCATAAACAGTTTTGTTGACAGAATATCATCCATTGAACAAATAGAAAACGAAAAATCATTTGCTAAATTAATTTTTCAGTGTGGATTGCCATTGTCTCTTTCTGAAATGGAACCATTAAAAATTTGGATTAAAAAAACAAGACCAGCATTAAAATTACCATCAAGAAAAAAAATTTCTACTACATTACTTGATGAAGTGTATCAAGATACAAAAAAAGATGTAGAAAAATTTATTAATGATGCTAAGTTTATTTTCAAATTTTTAATATCATCCCATAATATTGTCTAAAGCTCCGAACGGTTCGGTTCAAACCGAAAAATTTCGGTTCGGTTTCGGTTTATAAAAAGTCAAACCGAAAAAGTTCGGTTTGGCTGGATCTTCATATTTATATTATGAAAAGTTTCGTTAATAGAAGATGTTTGTTATACATGCAGAGCT